TCTTTCTTTTCTTCTTCCTCCCTTCTTTCTTCTTCCTTACAAGGACGGCAGTCTGACTCACACAGTAGTGAAGAATGGAACATGGGAGCATGATAGAGACTGACAGTCAGCCAGAGGGAGCAGAGGACTCAACTTAGACAGGCTGACTTGTCTTTCAAGAGGTGACAGGTAATGCCAGGGTGGAGGCTGGACTAGGAATTAGGCAAAGCAGGGAACAGGAAGAACAAGAGGAGAAAGGTCCAGGCAGAGTTCCCAGCGTCTGTGGACGTCCCCTGGCAGAATCAGGATTGCTTCTTCTGGCCACAAAAGGAGTGAATGGGGCTGGAGCTTAGAGCAGGGGAAAGGGATTGATGCAGAGTTGTCGAAGGCAGCAGGACTCTCTCAAAAGTCACGGCAAAAATTTAGGATGTAGTTTCTCAGATGTTCCTGGTGCTGCCCCCTGCACTTAAGATTGAGAGTAACTCAGTAAGTGAAGCAGGGGAGGAAGAGGTTGATTCCCAGGTTCTGAGTGTGACAGTTAGGTGGTAATGGGAAGACTAACAGGAAAGAACAGTTTGGGATACAGTAAGTGATGTTCAACATTAATGATTTCAAGTGTACTCAGGCTCACTGGAGCCCGAGGTAAGATCAACACCTGAGTGTGCATCTAGGCATTGTCTTTCTGAGAGTGGTAATTATTGATCTGGTCTTTTTTGCTGTATGTGTGTGTGTGTGTGTGTGTGTGTGTGTGTTTCTCCCTGTGCAACCTAAGCTAGTATGGACTCACGATGGCTCTGCCTCAGCCACTCCTGAGTGCTAAGGTTACAGTCATGTACCGCTCTGCCCAGCATGTATTGGCATTTATCTAGGAAAACAGAAGACTACTGAAGCCAATGTATTGCTGCCATAAGGACCAGTCTGCAGCAGCGCAGGGGCTGGGGGGAGCCACAGAGAGGGCAAGCTAATCATTCAAGTTGACTCTTCTATCTGAGGGAGCGAAACAACTCTGGAGCTGGTGAGGGAGGTAAAACTTAACTTTCTGGAGAAAGAGCAAAAGGGAAGAAACAAATATACATGGGTCTCTCCCTCATTTTCTCCTTTATTTTTCTTCCCTCTATCCAGATGTATCCTTTCTATCTTTCTTGATTTTTCCTTCTAACTTTTTCTCCTAACAGCTTATATACCTCAGCAAAATCTTTCAAGCAGTATAAAAATTTCAGTGTGGTTACAATCTATTTTTTGGTGAATGATTACAATGAATACAAGTAAAAAACATGTTCTGCATATCCCTTACATAAGTAAGCATTTATGTATTACAGGTGAAAAACAAACTATCTCCAAGAACCTACATACATTCTTTTTTTGTTTGTTTGTTTTTGTTTTTCGAGACAGGTTTCTCTGTGGCTTTGGAGCCTGTCCTGGAACTAGCTCTGTAGACCAGGCTGGTCTCGAACTCACAGAGATCTGCCTGCCTCTGCCTCCCGAGTGCTGAGATTAAAGGCGTGCGCCACAATCGCCTGGCCCTGCATACATTCTTGCCCAAGCAACTTGATTAACAAAGTGTAAGCAATCAAGGAATTTTTTTTCAGCCAGATTTTACTGGCAGACTGCATTTTGTGGTTACAAAGAAAGGATCAATCACTTTTTAAAAAATATTTATTTATTTATTATATATACAATATTCTATCTGTGTGTATGTCTGCAGGCCAGAAGAGGGCACCAGACCTCATTACGGATGGTTGTGAGCCACCATGTGGTTGCCGGGAATTGAACTCAGGACCTTTGGAAGAGCAGGCAATGCTCTTAACCACTGAGCCATCTCTCCAGCCCCCAAGGATCAATCACTTTTATTTATTTACCTCCAAAAGTAATCTTTTTTCTTTTCTTTATTTTTTTTATTTTTTTTGATACAGGGTTTTTTTTTTGTGTAACAGCCCTGGTTGTCCTGGAACTCGCTTTGTAGACCAACCTGGCCTCAAACTCACAGAGATCTGCCTGCCTCTGCCTCCTGAGTGCTGGGATTAAAGGCTTGTGCCATCACACCTGGGTTCAAAAGGTAATATTATAAAAAAGTCACAAATATGAACTTTTATATATGAAAAACAACCAGTCAGCTCTATTGTAATCCTGAGGGTGCAGACCTACTTATCAACATTTTATTTTTTATATCAGGAAGCTGAGGGCAATTAATCATCACCCTTGATCATTAATCCATCCTAACAAGAAAGTTACAGCAGCCAGCAATCCTCAGGGTGCCATTGTTTCTGTTCCCTGACCTCAACGAGTCCCTTGTCCCACTATTAAAAGTGTGTCTTTATAAACTTTAAATGGTTTCTCAACATTTTCTACTTCAAAGTCATTAACAAAACCATCTTAACCTAACCTCACTAACAATTCTATGTGTCTAAATTCTTTATAAGGGTGGTGATTGAATCCTTAATCTGTTCCAGCAGCAATGCTCAGAAAAAGTCAATCACTATTATTGTAAGTCCCAGTAACACTGCCCACTGAGGGGTTAGAAACCCCCTGAGAATTTTCATACAACCCATGGGGAGATGAAGAGCATGAAGGTAGCAATCAGAGCTATGCTCCAACAGCAGGAGGTACCCAGGGCATGTAGGCTTTGCCTGCTCAAGGCTCACTCAGGTGTGGCTTTGCCAACAGCCCAGCTGTGTTCTATGAGGTCCAGAGCTGCTTGTTGGTCCCCTCACATGGCCTCCGACACCAACAGGCTTCTGAATGGGAGGAACATGCAAAGGGATAAAGAGTTAATCAAGACAAATGGGGGTAATAATTGGACCTCCCAGTAGTGCTGCTTGACAGTAAATTCTTGCATATTTAAAAATACTTATTACATCCCCATACTTAGCTGGGTCAATATGATAATTATTAAGTTCTACTTCATGTCTTTTCTGGGCTGTGGGTATACACACGTGAATCTGTGTGTGGATGCTTGAGAGTTTCAGAAGCCAGAGAAGGAGATCAGTGTCCTGCTCTATCACCCATCGCCTTTTCTGTTGAGACAGAGTCTCTCACTGAACCTAGATTAGGGCTAGGGTCCGGAAAGCCTCAGCGATTCCCCTGTCTCCATCCCACACAGTTCTGGAGTTCTAGGAGGGCTCATGCAGTCACACCAGCTTTTTATGATGCTTCTGGGATTCAAGCTCAGGTCTTAAGAGAACTTGCTATTCTTCCAGAAGACTAGAGTTCAACAGCAGCCAAATCCATTCCCAGCTTACAACGGCCTATAACTCCAGCTCCAAGGTACCCAACTCCCTCTTTTTGGCCTCCTTGGACATCCATATGCACAATCAAATACACACAGACATAAATATAAATAAAAGCAAAGCAGTACAAAACAAAAGAATAAGCTGTATGATATCCTTTAGCTAAATCCTAGAAATTCAGTGGATAGATACTTTGGTGGTGGCTTTGGCAACAACAGCAGCTTTTATTGTCGTTTGATCAGTCAGCATCTCCTAGCAATGTGGAGATGCCTGCCAACAATTAGTGGCAGCCACACACCTGGCAAGTGTGAAGAATCAGCGCACCTTGTTGGAGGGAAACCATCCAAGACGAATGCATTATGTCTTGTGATTATTTGCCTGGGTTTTCATGTGTCCAAGACATTACACGCTGCGCAGTTGCTCACCTGACAACGGCATCTTGCAGAGATGATGTAGCTAACTGTCTTCTCATCATTGTGGATGTAACACTTTGGCACGGTCCAGAAGTTCCAATTATGCTCCCTGTGGCTGAGTTAACAACCATTTCATCCCAGTTTTACCACTGACAGGTATTGTGACCTTCAGCAGTTATTTAACTCCTGTCTCCAAATCCCTTCACCGTAAAAGTAGAATCAACAATTTCAAGTCATCCAAACACTAGCTAGGACAAATGGTAGACGTGGCCGTAAGTTCCATACATTTCTCAAAGTGTGAATGTGCAGTGTAGGGTTAGGCACTGTCCTATTTCTGCGCAGGTCTCTTTAGTGACTTGCCTTATTAGCACCACGCACATCTTTTATTTTCTGGCTCCTTCGCCCACCTGCTTAATCCAATGAACTCCTTTGAATATTGTTTCCATTTCCCTGGTTATACTTGGAACCAGGGGGAAAAGTCTTAAATGGATTTTGCCTCTGAGATTCTTTCAACCAGATCTCACTTTTAACAGACTGATGCAGGCTGAAGCGTGGAGTGAGATTTCTGCCTATAATGAATTGTAGAGGTGCCAACTCCATAATTTTCTGTGAAAAATCTGGCACACTCTGCCACTGAAGTTGAAAGATAATTTGCCTGAATCTCTTCAACCAAACGAAGCTTTCTAATCAATTATGAACAGAAGCAATGAGATACAGTGTAAGGGTGTGAAGGGCTTTGAGACCCAGTCAGCATCAATCGCCATCAAAATTGCTCGGAGACTGGGGCCGACGAAGGCACTAATATTTACAATGCTAAGTGACAGCACGGACTGCGTAGACTACTCTGGAAGCAACTGCCTATCATTTCGCTGGGTGGCTTGAATGAATGTCAGAGCTGTCTGTCACAACTGTCCTTCAGAGAACTCTAGTTATCCATCTCATTTAAAAGGAAGAGAAAAATAGACCCTCAAGGAAGGATGATGATTCGACCAGGATGGCCTTGCAGATCATAGAGAATCTACAACAGGGGCATGAAAGGCAGCGGTAGGGATGGTCTTATTGGCTCACGCGGGAATCCAGCGTTCGGCAGACTGCCGCAAGAGGGCTACTGTGGGTTCGAAGCCTAACTGAGTTACAGACAACACGAAACCAAACCGCCCCGAAACAAAAGTCAGGACAGCCTTCGCACCTGTCAGAATTCGCGCTGGAGCGTATGGGGGGGGGGGCGGTTGACAAAAGAGGGCCAGGTGTGGAAAAGGCGGAGCTAAGAGTTAATGGGGCTGGACCAGGGGAGGAGCCTAGGCAAACTGGGTGCGGCCTCCCGGGGGCGGGGCCAAGCGCCGCGGGCTCCGCCCCCGCGCGCTACCGCCCCTCCGCCGTGCTGCGTGCTGCGAGGTGGGCTTCGTTCAGGAGCAGAAGAGCCAGCGGCTGGCGGCTCCCGAGGCACGAGCGGAGTTCGACGGCGGCCCGCGTTCTCCGAAAGGCAGCCGTCGACGGGCGAGCGATGGCGGCGCGGGGGTCGCGGCGGCGCGCGCTGCGCCTGCTCTTGGTGGTGCAGCTGCTGGCGGGGCGCTGGCGGCCGGCCGGGGCAGCGCGGGGCGCGCGGGGAGGTGAGCTCGGGCGGGGTCGCGGGCCGCGGGGTCGCGCAGCGGGGCTCCGCCGCCTTGCCCTTTTCTTCGGGGGGACGGGTGCGGATTTCCAGGTTAGCGCCCAGCTCTGTTCATCTCGATGCAAAGAAAAGGCCAGTTTGGGGGCTCGGTGGCTCGCGTCGTTGGGGCGGCTGGTGTAGGGTGTGCCTCGGTACAACTTTCTCTTTAGAGCGTGCCGCTGTCATAGGGCTTCCCGCTTCCCTGATGGTTCACGGCGTGGAGACTAGGGGTTAATGGTCTTTGAGACTTTATAGACCACCCTCTTCTACTTCACTTCTGCAGCATCTTTCCTTTTGCCAGGAGATGCAAACGTTTGCTGAAGAAATGCTAGGTAGTCCACACCCCTGGCTTCCGGACTCATCGCTTGACTTTTGGGTTCTTCGCTTCTTTGAAGCATGGTGTTCCCTTCCTCCCACCCCGTCAGTGTTTCAAGATGTTGTGGATTGGGATAGAAACAAACAAACAAACAAGCAGAGCCTAGTATTTTGAATTTCCAGTGTTTTAACATATTTTAGTTAGCCCTTTCAGTACTTTGTAGAAAAATGCTGTTTCTGGAGCTCCTGTGATGTGTCCTTTACTAGAGCAGGGGCGACAGAGGGTCGCTGCACCTGCAGCTCGCTTTTAGTGAGAAGAGGAAGACTGGAGGACCTTTACCTGTCTTTCTTTCGTTATGATCTTCTTCTTCTTCTTCTTCTTCTTCTTCTTCTTCTTCTTCTTCTTCTTCTTCTTCTTCTTCTTCTTCTTCTTCTTCTTCTTCTTCTTCTTCTTCTTCTTCTTCTTCTTCTTCTTCTTCTTCTTCTTCTTCTTCTTCTTCTTCTTCTTCTTCTTCTTCTCTTCTTCTTCTTTTTTTTGAGACAGGGTTTCTTTGTGTAGCCTTGGCTGTTCTGGTTTGCAGACCAGACTGGCTTCGAACTCACAGAGACCCACCAGATCCACCTGCTTCTGCCTTCTGAGTGCTGGGATTAAAGGCATGGGACACCAGTGCCCCAGGTTTCGTTAAGATTCTTAAACTGTGAGTAACTTTGTGGACTAGATTTCAGGGTAGGTCTACTGAAGCAGTGAAATCTTTGCAAAGAGCATTACAGTTTAGGGAAAGAGAGGGATGTCCCGGTCTCAGAACATGTCTCCAATGTGCCTTAGAACATGGTTCTCGCCGCAGTTTTCCTTATTTGGAAACAGGACAACACAGCTTACTTTCCCCAGCCGTTTTCAGGATTGACTGCTACGTATAAAATGCCAGGCAGTGTCTGGCAGCCTAGAAGATGGTAGTCCCTGTCTCTCTGACGGTGCTGGGAATTTGAGCAGGTTTCTCAGTTTTAACATAAATCATTGTTGCTGAGTCTTCGATGGTGTACATAGCTAACTCTTGTGCAGGGTTTGGGATTTTAACCAAGGTGGATGACCCTCTCCTTTCGGCTCCCACTCAGTGGTATTTCTTTAATAATAACCATCTTGTTGTGTTACAGTTTTTTGATTTGTTTGTCCCATGTGAGTGCCTTAAGAGCTTCCTTTGTGTGTGGGTATTCACATATGCTAGAAGAGGCCAGAGGTCAGCTGTGGGTATTGTCCTTCAGAGCCATCCACTTTGGTTGGTTTTTGTTTGTGACAGTCTCTCACTGTGACCTGGGGCTCATGGATTAGGATAGGCTGCTGGCAATCCTGCTGAATTTCAGAGATCTGCCTGTCTCTGCCTTCCTCATGTTGAATGACCAGGGCATCTGTTACATTGAAAAGGCTCCTTGCTAAACCTTTTCCATTTTACGGGGGTCAAATGCAGGTCTTTGTTCTTGTGCAGCAGGCACCTTACAAGTCAGCTTCCAGCCTCCAAGAGCTGCGATGTCTTATGTGTCCTTAATACCTAGTTTATTATAGGAGAGTGGTGATGTTTATAAGTGAATGAATGGAGCCATAATCTCCCTGGATATTTTCTCACTTATAAGAAAAGGCCGTTAACTGTTCTAATCTTAAGTTCTGTGTAAGCATCGTGAAGAAGATAGTGATACGGGCTGATATAACTGCACACTGGCAAATAATATGCCTTTGCGTTCTGCCGCCTTTGAATTCACAGTGGCTGATGTGCTGTGTGGAGAGGAGAAGCCTATTATTAACTGGCTTTGTTTTTTGGGGCATATTCAACTTGGCTGACTCCCTCTCTCCCTTTAAGATAGTAGAGTAGAGGCAGATGTTTTTTGGAAATTGATTTTATGTTTTATTGTTTTCATGTTTGTCTTAGAGTCTCAACATAACTCTTATGGTTTCCTATGAACCAGTTCCCAGACAGAAAGTCTTGTCTAGTCAGCCAGCAGCCATACCTGTTTGGCCGACTGAAGGCCACAGAGCTGTGGAAAGTAGCTTGGAAGGCAATTTCGTCTGCAGTGGAATATAATTTGCTAGACATTAAGATAATATGGGCCTTTTGAACTGACCTGCGACGAGGACGTTCATGGAAATTAGTCAGTCATTAGTTAGGTATACTTCTTAGCTGTGTGACATTTTAGTATATGATCTTCAGTCAAAGGAAGATAAAATAATCCATAGAGAGTTTGAGCTCTAAGTGTGTTTTCTTCTCGTTTTTAGTTCTCTCATTTACACTCTCGGACACTAACAGAGATGCACAAGGTGGCCATCAACTTCACGAAAGTCAGCTAATCACTTTTAAAGATTTATTATGTATAGTATTCTGCCTGCATGTATACAGTGTTTTGCTTTCATGTTTTCCTGAAGGTCAGAAGAGGGCATCAGATCTCATTACAGATGGTTGTGAGCCACCATGCCGTTGCTGGGAATTGAACTCTGGACCTCTGGAAGAGCAGTCAGTGCTCTTAACTTCTGAGCCATCTCTCCAGTGCCCCCATTTATTCACGTTTGACATTTATTGGCCATGCTCTCAGTGCTCTGACTTTGTATGTTTGTGTTTTTTGTTGTTTGTAGGTTTTTTTTGTTGTTGTTGTTCTTTAAGACAGGGTTTCTCTGTGTAGCTTTGGAGCACGTCTTGGAACTTGCCCTGTAGACCAGGCTAGCCTCTCAAGCTCACAGAGTCCACCTGCTTCTGCCTCCCAAGTGCTGGGATTAAAGGCATGCGCCACCACTGCCCGGTGCTTTGTGTGTTTTGACTCCTATGAAACAACCATGTGTGAAGTATTCCCACTGACTCCACCTGCAGGATTTATTTAGGACAAGTCAATGTTTTAAGTGTTGGTGATAGGACAGTAAACAAGGTCTCTGCCCTTTAGAGCTTGATTTAACAGATGATGAGGTTGACATACAAGTAATTTATACGATTTGATCTAGGCAACAGTTAATGGATGAAAGAATCTGGATTTGAACTTGGGTAGTCTGCTTGGGGATTTGCTTTTAAGCAATATTCTCAGTATTTTAATCAGTCAACATGGATGAAGCAGTCAAACTAGGTATATGATTTGGGGGAGGTTAATTTTTAATAATTTTTTAGTGAAAATAACTTGAGGTCATCCATCCCCTTTGACTCTCAAAGTCTTTCTGCCCCTTCTGTATAGTCCCCTAAGCTCTTAGGGAAGGGGTCCTATTCCTGTGAGGAGATGCCATGACTGTGGCCAATCTTCTAATGGAAAATGCTTACTTACAGCTCAGAGGTTTAGTCCATTACCATTGTGGCAGGAAGCAAGGCAACATGCATGCAGAGATGGTGCTGGAGAAGGAGTTGAGTTCTTACATCTTAACCTGCAGGCAATAGGAAGTGATCTGAGACACTGGGCATATCTTGAGCATAGGAAATTCCAAAGCCTGCCCCCACAGTGACACTGTTCCTCTAACAAGGCCACATCTACTCCAACAAAGTCACACCTCTGAAGAGTGCCACTCTTGATGATCTTATGGGGGCAATTTCCTTCAAACTACCACAGGAGGAGCTTGACAAAGACATCCCAGTTTGGACTGAATGTCCCAAAATCTCTGTCTCTGTACACTGTTCAACTGTGGGTCCCCGTGTTAGTTCACATCTACTGCAAAAGGAAGCTTCTCTGATGATAGCTGAGTGAGACACTGATCTATGGGTATAGTAGAATGTCATAGGAATCATTATTGCTACATTCTTTTAGCAGAATTACAGTATTTGGTGTTGTCCTGGCCAGTGACCTGTACAGCCTCAGGTTCTTGGCTACCAGAGCAAGTATTAGGCATGGCTTCTGTTTTGTGGAGCAGGGGAATGATTAGTAACCCCCTACAATGTTTGTGCCCTACTGTACTAGCATTGTCATGCAGGCAGGTCACTGTTGCAGAGTGCAGGGTGTGTGGTTATCTTTCTCCCCTGGTAGATTGCAGAGTACCTTCCAGTACCGTGAACATTAGTCAGTGGGGGTGAGGCTCTCGTTAGGCACCAGCTGGACTTCTCTGTGTCAGTGAGTTATGTAAATGCTGTCTTCAGCGGTAAGACCTTACTATCGGTTTGTGGAAAACAACCCGCAGCCTTGGCAATAGCCTGAGATAGTTGGGGATTTCCATGATGGCCCTTTGGCCAATGACTCAATTAGATGAACATCTGTTATTTAGTGACTCTATCTAGATTTATTTCATATTTGTATGGGATAAAAATGATAGAGGTGATTCTAGGTGTTGATATCTGGTGTGTGTGTGTGTGTGTGTGTGTTTGGGTTGGGTGTTCCACTCCTTGGTTTCTATTGCTCTCTCTATATCTCAGGAAAATGTGGTGACTGTGGGTTCCCTGATAGAGAGTGCTTCTGCAGGTTGGTGGGTGGTGGAGAGGAATGGAGGTGGTTTATGGGAACAGCCCGAGAGGGTCTATGGGGAAAAGCTAAGGGGATCTTGTCCACACCAAGAGGCAGGGGCTTCCTGGGTCTGTATCAAGAGCTGGAGTCTCCAATGAAGGGAGCTGACAGAGGAATGGGAATGAACTAGAGGGGAGGGCTGAGAAGGTCTGAAGAGAGAAGCGTAGTTGGTCTGCGCCAAGGTTTAGCAGAGACCCA